TATTTTTAATTTCCAGCAGTTTGTGGAATGCTTAAGTGTTTATATTTATTTTCTTATTGCATTTTCCTGAGCTGCTTGTATCTGTATGTCTGTATGTTTTTTAGATCTGTATGTATGTATTTTAGTCTTTGTTTCTCCATGTGTTTCCTGAGATGTTTCTTGCACACCATTCTCTTTCTGCTTCTGGATCCTAAGTACACTTGTGTTATGACATTCTATATAGTATCTCAGATCTTGGTTACTCTTTGATTCCCTGCTTCCCTGTGTTTTTCTTCTTTGTGTTTTAGTTTGAGTACTTTCTATTGATATGTGTTTAGTTCATGAATTCTTTTCTCAGCTATATACAGGTTACTGTGCAGACCGACTATTCAATGAAATCTTCACTCCTGGTATACTATTCATTTCTAATGCATTTTTTAAAAAGTAGTTTCTGTGACTTTACTGCTGAAATGAATTTCCCATCTCTACTTGCTGTCAAATCCACTTCTTAAATTATGTGTTTTTGTTTTCTAGTTTTAAACTGCCTGTCTGGTAATTCCAATATCTAGGCCCCCTCTAGGTCTATCTTTTTTTTTAAATTTATTTTTTATTCTAATTTGTTATATATGACAGAATTCATTACAATTCATATTACACAAATAGAGCACAACTTTACATATCTCTGGTTGTATAGAAAGTATATTATTACCATTCATCTCTTCCTACATGTACTTAGAGTAATGATGTCCATCTCATTTCACCGTCTTTTCTACCTCTATGCCCCCTACCTTTCCCTCTCACCCCTTTGCCCTATCTAGAGTTCGTCTACTCTTTTCATGATCTCCCTCCAAACCCCACTATGAATCAGTCTCCTTATATCAGAGAAAACATTTGGCATTTGGTTTTTGGGATTGGCTAACTTCACTTTGCATTATATTCTTGAACTCCATCTTTTTACTTGCAAATGCCATGATTTTATTCTCTTTTATTGCTGAGTAATATTCCATTGTGTATATATACTACATTTTCTTTATCCATTCATCTACCGAAGGGCATCTAGGTTGGTTCCATAGTTTACCTCTTGTGAATTTTGCTGCTCTAAACATTGATGTGGCTGTGTCCCTGTAGTACTCTGTTTTTAAGTCCTTTGGGTATAGACTGAGGAGGAGTGGGATAGCTGTGTCAAATGGTGGTTTCATCCCCAGTTTTCCAAGGAATCTCCATACTGCTTTCCGTTTTGGCTTCACCAATTTGCACTTCCACCAGCAACGTATGAGTGAGCCTTTATCCCCACATCTTCTCCAACACTTATTGTTGTTTGTTTTCTTAATAGCTGCCATTCTGACTGGAGTGAGATGAAATCTTAGAGTAGTTTTGATTTGCATTTCTCTAATTACTAGAGATGTTGAACATTTTTTCTTTTATTTGTTGATTGATTGTATATCTTCTTCAGAGAAGTATCAGTTGAGTTCCTTGGCCCATTTGTTGATTGGGTTATTTGTTTTCTTGATGTTGAGATTTTTGAGTTCTTTATGTATTCTAGAGATAGTGCTCTATCTGCTGTGCATGTGGTAAGAATTTGTTCCCAATTAGTAGGATATCTATTTACCTCACTGATTGTTTCTTTTGCTGAGAAGAAGCTTTTTAGTTTGAATTCATCCCATTTATTGATTCTTGATATTAATTCTTGTGCTATAGGAGTCTTATTAAGGAAGTTGGGGTCTAATCTGACATGATAGAGATTTGGGCCTACTTTTTCTTCTAATAGACGCAGTGTCCTGGTTTAATTCCTGGGTCCTTGATCCACTTTTGAGTTGAATTTTGTACATGGTGAGAGATAGGGGTTTTATTTCATTTTGTTGCATATGGATTTCCCGTTTTCCCAGCATCATTTGTTTAAAATGCTATCTTTTCTCCAATGTATGTTTTTGGCACCTTTGTCTAATATCCGATAACTGTAATTATGTGGGTTAGTCTGTGTGTCCTGTATTCTGTACCACTGGTCTACAGGTCTATTTTGGTGTCAATACAATGCTGTTTTTGTTACTCTTGCTCTGTATTACAGTTTGAGGTCTGGTATACTGGTGCCACCTGCTTCACTCTTCTTGCTGAGGATTGTTTTAGCTATTCCCAGATGAAATTCGTGACTGCCTTTTCTATTTCTATGAGGAATTTCATTGGGATTTTGATTGTAATTGAATTAAATCTGTATAATCCTTTTGATAGTATGGTGATCTTGACAATATTAATTCTTGTATCCATGAACAAGGCAGAGCTTTCCATCTTCTAAGGTCTACTTTAATTTCTTTCTTTAGCATTCGATAGTTTTCATTGTAGAGGTCTTTTCACCTGTTTTGTTAAGTTGATTCCCAAGTATTTTATTTATTTTTTGGTGCTATTGTAAATGGGGTACTTTTCCTTATTTACCTTTCAGAAGATTTGTCACTGATATACAGAAATGCCTTTGATTTATGGGCATTTGATTTTGTATCTCGCTACTTTGCTGAATTCATTTACTGGAGTTTTCTAGTGGAATTTCCTTTTTTTTTTTTTTAGGAATAAATCATATCTGTAAATAGTGCTAATTTGAGTTCTTCTTTTGCTATGCATATCCCTGTGATTTCTTTCGTCTGTGTAATTGCTCTGTCCAGTGTTTCAAGGACTATGTTAAATAGAAGTGGTGAAAGAGAGTGAATTCTTTCAATTTTTTTTCCATTTAGAATTATGTTGGCCTTTTATGATATTGAGATATGTTCTTGTTATCCCTAGTTTTTCTAATATTTTGAACATGAATGTGTGCTGTATTTTGTCAAATGCTTTTTCTGAATCTATTGAGATGATCTTATGATTCTTATGTTTAAGTCTATTGATGTGATGAATTACATTTATTCTTTATGTTGATCCAACCTTGCCTCCCTGGAACAAACCCCACCGAATCCTGAATATTGAAGGCATCAACAAATTTCTAGAGTCATATGATTTGTCTAGGTTGAATCAGGATGATATACACAATTTAAACAGATCAATTTCAAGCAATTAAATAGAAGACACCATCAGAAGCCTACTAACCAAGAAAATCCCAGGACTGGGTAAATACACAGCTGAATTCTACAAGACCTATAAAGAAGACCTAATACCTATACTCTTCAAATTATTTCATGAAATGGAAAAAGAGGCAGCACTTCCAAACTCATGAGGACAATATCACCCTGATTCTAAATCCAGGCGAAGACACAACAAAGAAAGAAAACTTCAGACCAATATCTCTAATGAACAAAGATGCAAAAATTCTCAATAAAATTCTGGCAAATCGAATACAAAAACATCAGAATGATAGGTCTCTCTTTTTTGAGCATGGTTCACATTCTCATGCTCCTTTGTGTGTTGAGCAACATTTATACGGTAGATATTTTATTTAAGTACTAGGAGAAACTGAAGCAAGTAATATTCTCTCTGACCTCTAAAAATTATGCCCTTCTTTTAGGCTGGTAGAGTGTGGCAGCTGGGGGTGAATTGTGGGGAGGCTGAGTCAGTTGGCTCTCTAGTTGATATAGGGCTGGCCTTTATTGCTTCTATAGTTTTAATTCAGCTCATTCCTGAGTTGTGTGTTACAAGGTATTATCATCTGAGCGTTATTGAGAATCTGGCAATCTCTTCTTTGACTTTACAACTGTGCTGCTAGCTTTCGAAACCATGGCGTATATCTTTCTGCTTTACAACTCCAATGTGTACTTTTAGGGTTAATGTAGAGTTGTCTTTTATTTTTTATTTTTTTTGTCTTTTAATTTTTAGTTCCACTTCTTTAACAATTAGTTATCACTGTGACTTACCTTCCTTCTAAATGATTTTTAGGTGTCATATTTCTTTACTGGTTATACTAGGTGTTCAATAGAACTCCAATGTGATAGCTACTAGCTACATATGCAACTAAGGAACTGCATTTTTAATATTCCTTTAATTCAATAACTATCTATAACTACAGCCCATTATAATAATGAGTGGTACAGTTCTATATCTTGTATTTGTTACCAGACACTAGTATATAAAAACGTGGATGTGTAACCGATGTGATTCTGCAATCTGTATATGGGGGAAAAATGGAGTGCATAACCCACTTGAATCAATTGTATGAAATATGATATGTCAAGAGCTATGTAATGTTTTGAACAACTAATAAAAAAAACACAACAATTTAATATATGTAGCCATGATGAACATTTCACAGACTCATTGATCATGTTTTTAAATGTACTTCTATATTTGATACTTAAAATGTTATTTCCTTTTCATTGTTGACATTTTATGAAGCTTGAAATAGGAGGTTTGAGTTCTTTGTGTAGAAGAGAACTTGTGAAATCCAATCACTTTTGAATGAACAATTAGCTTTGTAAACTAGTATCTATGTATTTTTAAATATCAGTGAACTATTTGATCTATTTGTAGGATAATTCTCTTTACAACAAAAATCTAGTTTTATTTCGTAAGGCTTGAATATACCTTCTCTGTAGATGTTGTAGAAACCAGCCTGAACAAGGAGAAATGTATTATCAGGCTAACAAGCTATAAAGACATAAGTAGAATTCAGTATAATTCCTAATCATGTCCTGTCACACCCTGCTTCCCAACCTGTTTATGCTATTCTAGAACTTGCCTGGTGATGGGCTGGGTGTAGGACACTGAGTACTAATTTGGTGTCACCACTATATTAGGGAAATTGCCTTTGTAAAACTGCTTGGTTTTTCTACTCTATAAAGCAAAGGTCACTTGTTACTAGAATCTGTAATTGAATGATTTTAAGATTAGAAGGAATGATTTTTGAGGTTGTTCGATTTCTCATCTACTTTTAGATAGGATGGTTTCTGAAAACTTTTCACCACTTTTTATTATTAAAGATTCTGTTTCCGAATGCCCCTTGAAATCACAGTGACAATATGATTTCCTCTGTTTTTTCCACTTTTGGAATTAGATAAATGTTGGGAGAGGGAATGCTTATATGTGTGCTCTTTTATCTTTCTATGTAGCTGGACAAATTTGCCAGCATAAGAATTCCAGGGAGCAAGAAAGAGAGAACTCCTCTTCCCAACGTGAAGACTGTGTTTGCAGGCCATGACTGCTCATCAGCACCTTCAGAGATCATGGGAAGCATCCCAAAGCCACTGTCAGAGAATGAAGTCCTACAGCTTTTTGAAGAGATGATGGTAAGAATTTTGATTCTCTATAAAATGATGTGAAGTCTGTTATGTTCTTGTGAAAGAACTCCAAACATATTTGCAAGTTAGGTTTTATAGGGTGATTGCAGATGTTTCTGAAGATAACACTTCAACCATAGTTGGCTTTTGGACCATGCTTTTTTGTGTGTGCCTTTTCTGCTAGAGACACATGGTGTCATTTGAGGCCAGGTGATTCTTTGAGTCAACCTGTGGTATTTCCAAACTAATTTGACTAATAACCCACATGTTATGTATACTGAAGTCATTTGCTATAAATAAATGCTAATTTAATCTAAATAAATTTATTTACATATATAGTTCCTACTTCTAAGTTGCTTATCTTCTAGGATTCCCAACAAACATTTGAAAAATGAGTAAGAAATGTCAGAAAGTAGTATTTAATAATTAAGTTCTTTATAAGTTCATTGTAGGAAGAACTACATTAGTTTTTGATATATCTAATTATTTTCTGTGAAAACCACAATAGATAGAGTATTAAGTAGTTTAGGAAAATTTAGTAGAAATGGTGAAGGAAGCCAGGTCTCAACTCAGGATAGGATTTGTGTAGACAGAGGGTGGGGGAAATCTTTGAGAATAATGAAATGACAGTGAGCTCAGATGTAGAGCTAGGTCAAAAATAGAGGTCAGATAAATTAGATTGGAGTGATAACTTGAGTCAGATTAGGAGAGGATTTTGTGTGTCATCCTGAGGAATTGTCTCTTTTTTCTGAATCATGACTTACTCTGGTTATGTCTGTTCTTCTGTGTATTGTTTTTGACTGCCTTATCAATTTTTAGAGAAATTGATAGCTCATCTAGCCCACTCCACCCCGTTTTTGAAATTACTTTCTGTGTCCTGTGGTGTTTTTGCACCCTGCCTTTCTTAGCTTTTATTCTATAGCTAGCCCATTTCACCAAGAGGAACTCCATTTCCACGGCGAGAGTGAACAGCTGGTCTAACTGATCAGCTGAAATCAGTGACATATTTGCCGTTATGCTGCCTTATTTTTTATTCATCACAAGATTTGTGTCCAGTATTACACATGGAGGTTCAGAAGACACCAGAAAAAATCCATGCGTAGTTTGTGCCTTCAAAGGGTTTTTCATAGTGTCAGTGATTCCTAACTATTTATCACAGAGCATAGTAGTATTTTTGCATGAACCCTAGACTATGCCTGGTCTTGTTGAAATGCTAGTTTTGGTTTGTTAACCACATATGTATAACTCCTTCTCCACTCTTTTCACACTATGAGTTGATATATTTTCAACCAAGAACCCGAAAAAAACAACCTTTTCTCCTTTTGGTAGCCTTTGCCACTATTGGTAAGGTTTGTATGAAACCAGCTCTCTTTAGTGTACTGTTAAGGACTTAGGATGGTAAAGTGCCCTTTTCTTCCTCTTTTCCATGCACTGTAAAAGGAATCACTTATTTTCATAACCCATGAAATTTTGGAATGGTAGTTTTATGGCTCACTTGTGACTACCTTACGTTTTTTGGTCATAGTAGTAGGTGACATATGAATAAGCAGAGGAAGGAGCCTGTTGATGTTAAAGATTCATGGAAACCACATTTTATTACCACACATAGTTAAAAGGAAAACTACCTAGGAAGTATTGAATATAGTTTGTTATTTTTGTTGTTGATGTTGCTGTTACCCAGGAAAGGAAGATGATTTGTCAATTTTAATAAGACTATGGGGCAGATGGCAATATGCATTTTTGAAGTATTGACAGAATACTTCTTTGGTAAGTGGGCTAGATCCCTTGTTAAACCTAGGACAGGTCTGCCTGAGGCAGATCTTCTGCTGTCAAGGTTTTACTTTACTCAGCAGAAATAAAGTGAAACTGTTGCTTTGGTAGGAATATTCAGTATGCTAAGGAATGAGTCTGCCTCACTAAGTTATTGTTCAAAAATAAGGAACAGATTCTTTACTTTCCTTACTGATTCTTTGAGTAAATCACAATATGCTGAAGGGAAAAGGTGCTGTTGATTCCAAAGCTGAAAACTAAAGAAGTTGAGAAGGATCTTTTCCTCCTCTAAATGTCAATCAGTGATATTCTTGAGACTTTTCAGGGTGCCACATTTTAAAAAAAATATTTTTACAAACTTAAAACTGTTTCTATGTGAAGAATGATAGATTTCAACTGGATTTGATTTTTTTTTTCTTACACATATCTCCATTAATAAAAACTGTTTGAGAAAGTTACACTTAATAATTGGCCATATTAACTTTTTGGCACTTGCACCTTTGGAAATTTCATGCTAAAAATTGTATATAGTTCTTTGTTTTGGTGGTATGCAATTAAAAAATATATATTATTACTTATCAGTTTATCGAAAGTTTCATTTTTATATGAAGTAAAAACTTGGTTTTGGAGAATGCTTCTTTTTTCTCCTGAAGACAGTCCTTTTGGAAGACTGTGCTGACTTAATAACTTAATGAATGTGAAGTACAGCATAAGACTTGAACATTTGTACTCATTTAGCTTTTACTTAGGATATGGGTTTACTGCGTCTCTGTAATAGCCTAGTTTTTGTATGCTTTCCTAAAGTAGTGATGAGCTTTTGGTTCTACTTTTTAAGGACTCTTTCCCCATTTGTCTTTGGGGAAAGTTGGAGTTTTACCCAAAACTTTTTACCCAAAAGCCCATCTTGGTTCCTTTGTGGATATTAGATATAATGTGAAATAGTTGTGTTCATTACTGTCTGTATAGTTGATTTCTGGAGTTTCTTCCAGTGGTTCCTTTTATACTCCTTGTAGATACACATAGCTGGGTTTTGAAGCTGAAAGTGACTTGTTTATTCCAGCTTTTGCCTCCAGCTCTTGCTCTCTCAACTTATTTTTCCCTAACCCTGAATAAAATTCCAGGCAGGTCCTACAGCTTTATTGCTGTAGGTGGTAAAAACCATGGCTTAGGTTAAATAACTTGGTTTTCATCCCAAGAAAACAGTTGCTTTTTTTCTTTTGCCAGCTTGCTCTGCTTGGAGCCTGCAGAAGGCTCTGCTGTTGTGGTGTGGTTGGCTCCTGCTTCCTATCCTTGCCTTTCTGCCCTACTTTCTAGACTGAATCTGTCTCCTCCAGGATAAGACTGGAGATGAGGAGAGACAAGTACTTCCTGCTCTAGGGCATTTATAAGCACCATTGGTATCCTGGGGTGTTATGTTAATTTCTTATTGCTGCTGGTGCAAATTGCCATGGATTTAGGGGTTCAAAACAACATAAATGGACAATAGTTGTGTAGATCAGAAATCCAGCTTGACCTCATTGGTTCTGTGAGTTTCTTGAAGCTGAAACCAGTGCCAGCTGGCTAGGCTCCCAGTACAGACTTTGTGAAGGATCTTCCAGGTTTATTGTTGTTGTTGGCAGGATCCAATTCCTTGCAGTTGTAGGACTGATGTTCCTTTTTCCTTGATGGCTAACAGTTGGGGACTGCTTTTAGTTTTAGAGATCCCCTGTATCTCAGATACATTGAATCTGTCTTATGCTTACAATTTCTGACTACTTGTTTTGATGCAAATCTTCTTCCTCTGTTAGAGAAAGTGTTCTGCTTTAATTGGCCCCCTTTATGTTTTCCAGATAAACCCAGATAATTTATTTATTGTAAGATTCAGTATGTTATTTACATTTGTACAGTCCATATAACGTAATTCATATATATAGGGTCCAGGGATTAGGGCAGTGTACCTCTCTGTGTGGGCCATTCTGTCTGCCATAGGTGTGGAAGATTACATATGCTGTTTCTTTGCTCCTCTGGCCTGCCTCCTCCTAATCTCACCTGTAGTTCCCATGTCACTGGTGACTTCTCCTTTGTTGGCTGTCTATAGCCTTGTGTTCTGCGAATCTATTACTCTGATGGGGTTACCTTTTGTAAGCAATATTTCTTGGATTTCTCAGGCCTGAACCACCCCTGGGATACATATTGTTTTGGGAAGCTAATAATGTCATCATGTTTCTTCCAAATCCTGTCTGCTACAAAAAGAGTGGTTTACTCTGGTGGTTTCTATCAATACCTTGTAATTTTTCTAGCTGTTTTGTTTGGGGCATTTATTCCTTTAACTGTAAACAACTTTTTGATATTTGAATCATTTTTGCAACATGTGATATTGCTGACCATTTTCACTTACTGGCATTTCTTTATTCGCTTTGGGAAGTGTGATACCTTTTTTCTTGCCTGATTTTCATCCTTTCTGAATGGTTCTTTCCATATCTCCTCTTCTATCTGTTCTTTTATTTCTTCTGAGTGTTGCTTCTGGTCCATGGCCCCCTGTATTACCTTTATCTACTGCGTTTTTTTTTTTTTTTTTCTGTGTTCTTCCTAGGAGACTGGAGCCCTTCTGTGTTGTAGACTGTCCCCTATATTTTGATACCTTTCTGTGTCTTCTAAAGAAGAGCAGCTTCAATTCAGCTCTTTAAAAGGTGATAAACCTTAACACAAAGAAATTGAATGTATTATATTCCTTAAAAAACAACAATAGATTTCTATTCTTTCCTTCTTTAGTTCTCTGACTGGGAAGCACACACTGAAATCTGAATCAACTTGATACTATTAAAGCATTGGTCTCATCCATTTACTTCTATGTCCTTATTAGCTCTGATTACATTTCTCCCCTGCTTTCATTAAAATTTTATTAACTCTTACTGGGGTATTGCAGTGGCTTTCTCCATTCATCTTTCTAACTCTGTTCCTTAGCCCAACATTACTCTTCTTTAGTATCTATCTATTCCCTCCCAGATTTGAGCATTGCTTACCCTGCTTGTCAGAGCTGCTGTGCTTGAGTCAAGAATTCCTTTTTAAAAATATATCTGTCTCTACACTAGATTAACTTAATGTGGTATCAAAATCCCCAATAAATGTCTGTTGAGTTCGTTAAGCTAAGTGCAGTGTCCTAACTTTTAAGATTTGTAAGATATTATATTTCTATTCAGATCCTAAGATTAGATGGAGATTAACTTTAATTGCTAGTCTTCCCAATAACACAAAAACAT